CTGCTCGTTCCTTACTTTGTACGATTGAGTACCTCATCTGTCTGACCAAAAACGAAACCAACCTTTGGAAGCCTTGAAGTCATTATGATGCAATTTTTGTGCTAGCTGGATTGCCTTCTTACGTAAGATACTTACCACCATTGAGAACTCTCCGTGCTTTTCCCTCATAGCAGTAAACCAAGCCAGAGTGGCCTCATTCACTGCCTTGAACTTTTCGCTGGTTTTCAGGTAGCATCTTCCCTCAGAAGCTCCAGCGTTCAAACGTTACCCGATAGTCGTTCGATGGAGTACAAAATTGTAGACAGTTTTGCGTGAAATTCCAAGTGATTTGGCTACGGAGCTCTGAGTTGCACCTGGCTGTTTCAGCATTTCCAACATATTCTGTTTCTCTCTGATCGATTGGCCGTTGCACACTTTGACGTCACATGACACTGTCTCCGATCGCTTACATCGGTGTGACTTCCTCGCAAGGATTATCCAATCAGTGAACAGTGCCATGAATGCGTCACACTAGGTGCAACGCCATTGGTTGAGTGCGACATTTCACGGTGGATGCTCAATGGTAGCCCCGAACATCGGTCGACGACCAAGTGATTGAGTATCATGACCTGCGACATATTGAGGGGTGCGATATCGCATATTTAGAAAGTACGTTATTAAGCGTACGTTTGGTTTGGGTTTTCAAAAAAGTATTAAGATACTGGAAAATGCGACTTCTCAGGGGTGCGACCTAGCAGGAGATTAAATTTATTTGATAATTATGTGCACGACGTTTCCATAAAGCTTTTCTGCTTCTGCCTTCCAAATAACTCGGTGGCAAGTTGTTCCATGTTGAGTATCAAAGGTAAGCTGGTCTAGAATGTTTAAGATTGGTTAGGTATTAAGTTTTCATTTAGAGATTTACAGTCAGCAGGATGTGCAACCAGTAGAGCATACGCATCAGGAAAAGCACTTGGTAACCTTGTTTTTCGAAATAGCCTATTGTTTCATTGATTTTAACACTAGATTGACGAGGGTGCCTGTGGAGACAACATCTATGTGACACACTGTACGACAGACCACATTACAACTTTCCTCTCGCCAGTGATTTGGAAGTATTTTATTACGCGACAGTGTTCACAGAAAGTTTATACACAAAGATGTCTAATCACAGCTCAGACGTAAATTCTCATCAGCACGACAGACGAATAGGCAGACGCATACGATGACGAAGTGTCTCCTGCCGTAAAACTACGATTTCTTTGATTAGCACTGAAGTTCGGTCCTTGTTTGGAAAGATGACAGACTTAAGCAGTTTGGCATAGTGTAGCATCTACCGCAATGATTGTCTGTTTTTGTGTACAAGAAACTTTGTCTTAAGCAGACATCGAAGGGTATACTTACATCTGTCAACATCGAGAAGGGTGTGATAAGAAGACCGGTGGAAGTGTATGTTTCACATGTCTCATGGCCTGGCGAGTCTTAGATACTTTTCACCTATTCTTGCAAGAGATTAGCTGTTTTGCTGTAGAATACCACCCAGAATTTTCAATTTTGTCCCAAATGTTTACATCATTTCAACTGTTCTCCGTTTTAAATCAATATATATCGACCACTTCACACAGTTCATGGTATCCTTGTGGATGCATTTATTATTATTGGGGCTCTTATTCATGCTTCACTGTCCAACTGGACGGCGTTTGTTCTACGTTATCTCCAACAAGAGGGAATTCTGTTTTATACAGGGTCATCCCCAGGAATTCTTACATCTCTTGTTTTGAACTCTCCAGTTTACCCTGAAGGTCGTTGCCTTCTTCCAACCGCAGCAGAAATTCAAACCCCTCCAGCTTTTCCCCCACGTACTAAATCGAAGCCGATTAGAGTTTACCAACCGGAATCATTCATTGAATTACACAGTACGTCTCAAACTGTCTTGAATATAGCTCTTCCCTTGTTTGCATCTACTTCCTCTCTATAACGTGACACGGTTGAGATCAATTTTCATTTTTTCCCTCGCAAAACCCTTTCTCGTTATTAAAGTAGAACATCCTCCTGATATTTAAATATTTTGGAGCACAGGAAGAACTCGCTTATACATCACACGATTCTTCTGAGGTTCAGCAACTATACCCCTGACTGAATTTTAAAATAAAACCTTTCAATTAATTGTGTACACCACTGCTGACTAGCAAATCCGATGGTCGATTTGGCAAGAGTTTCTCCTCATTGATGGAAAATGGAAAAATCCTAAGCTTCACAGCGCTCAAATCAATCAGGTGAACTCGGCATTTATTTAATCGTCCTCAGATACGCTTCCCACCTTCATCTCGTCAGGCTACTCCAGCAAGGACCCTTACTTTCGATCGTCTAAGTTATTTATGTTCTGCAGTTGGCCCTGATGGCTTATCTTCTGCACTCATCCAGTATGGCTCTGGTGCGCTCAGTGAGGATGGGAAAGCTGCCTACAATACATTTTTTGATAGCTGTTCCATTTATAATCTGTCGACGCTCTCTACATCCATAAAGCGTGCACCCTTAAAAATTAAATTAAACTTTCTGTTCCATTGCTATCATTTCGTCAGGACACAAAGTTACCAAACGCGCTATTCTTATTCAAGTTTCTTGTATGAATGTTCTCTAAGACCATCTCCAGTTTACATACAAAACAAACAACAGTTCTCTGGATCAGTCTATGAAATCTCTTCTTGATATATTCCTCGACAATTCTGTGTTCGACCGGAAATCTTACTCATTTTTCTCCACAAATTACAGTTCTTCTTCTGTCCAATACCCTTTGTGTCGTGGTCGAAATATTACTTCACTTCCAGAATTCAAGCTACCAATTTGAGCAGATAGCTTGTCCTACATGACATAACCTAGATACACTCAATATATCAGTGTGAATTACTCAGACAGAGGAAGGAGTTTGTTACTATTTGTACATTAGTTACGGTGAAAATTTAATGACTTTATAATACACATTTTCCATTTGCAGCATTAGACAACCGAAAACCGGAGTTAACAATTTAGGCGTTAAGCGGAAATTAGTTCAAATCTATTTGGATATTTTTTATTTGCATTTATAAAACTTCTTCAAGTTGATATGCTTACGTTTCAAGTGGAAATAAACTAACAACCTTAGAGTTATTTTGTGTTTATTACAGTCCTTTTCAATTCCAGCTTTTAAAATATCTTACGGTAGAGGTATATGTGCAATTTACCGTACACTGAATTTATTGGATCTTGTGGTTAATTCGCTCCAATCATCGCATATTTTCTGGTTACATATCATTGTGAAACAAAGGTTAACGGCAATAGTACCTAAGAACTTAGAGCTCTTTTTAATCCACTCCGGACGTTTGCGACACCAGATTTGGCATTTGTCAATTTATTACAATTGTTATGTCGGAATACTAGGAACGTTACAAGTACCACCGGGTATAGCGTATAGAGCGTATAGCGTATAGAGTGAATCAATCAAACTGAACATTAACAATGGATCAGCTATTACTTTTGTATGATTTTTGTGATCATATCCAAAGAAAACTGTTCAAATCGTTCGCGTTCTTCAATTCTCAGTAGTGGAAAAGTGGTTAGGTATTGTCCAACGTTCTCCTGGAACAGCACGGCACATGATCTAATGATGTCAATCTTGCTGAAGGTGTGACGGTTTGGGGAAAGTGCATCTGGTCTGACAGGAGCACGCCAAAGCACTTTTCCGTAGTTTTGGGGATATTCATGCTATTCTGTGCGTTCTTAGAGAAATTCGATCTCCGCGTTCACTTATGTGAGCCTAATTCTAAAGCTCAAATAACTATTTTGTTTCTTCAGCGCCAGAGATGATCTTCGCGTCCCAAGAATTTATGGAAGATTCCAATAAGGATATCAAAGACCAACAGTATAGCGAATAAGCTTGTTTTCGTACCTTCGTCTATAGGAATTTACAGTTGTATGTTTATACATAATCCAGAAATAAATGTGATTGATTCACTGAGGTTAAATGGGAAGCAACAGCAATGCATGTCAAGTTCAATAGAGGCAAATGGAGAAAGGATGGGGAGGGATGACCAAGGTCATGTCATTTGGCGTCATCGTGACATAATTTAGGTCATGGTTCGGTTGCTCATGTGGGTTGGGGCGGAGCCAACGCAGCTGGACTGCGGCAACCATTTTCATCTGTCTGCAAAATGGAGGCTTTAGGAATTTAATTATTCTGGTATATGCCGTAGCCGAACGTATACTGACTTATTTTTGGAGCATTCTGTTGGTGACTTTGAATGCATCGTTGTCGGTCTGATGTCCTGCATCAATCCTTTGGGTCACAATCGCAATGCCTATTGTTTTCTTGTAACCCGTACAACGTTCTCTGATAATTTGTGAAAACTGTTTCATCCTTCATCTCGCGTAACTTGCTGAACATGTACAAGTGAAGAAATATGTAATTACGGATGAGGTGGTGAGGATGAACAAATTATCCTTGAGGTTTGTGCAGAGCTGTTTATAAACGTCACACGTAGAGCGGCAGCTGGGTACTTTCGCTAAGACATTGTGGCTCATTGTGGCCCACCTCTTCGAACCCGGGTGCCAGACAGACAACGATGCACTTAAAGTCATTTGCTATGAACTCCAAAACACTTCGAAGTACCTTCAGGAACGGCAGATGCTGACCTAGAACATATATAAAAAACTGTGTCAAGTATTCAACAATGTATGTCCGGCAATATAGTTCCCAATGGAGACTAAAAAGAAATAAGTTGACCGCATTTCACGATGTACACACAGGTTGAGCAAACTATGGTGAAGTGGCAGAAAGTGTGTTTTGTAAATGAACCACAACATTCACACACTTTCAATACAAATCAAACTAAGCCGATTGTTCATATTTTCGTGGTACACATATTGACAATCCACACACACTGAATTCTGAACGGAAGCATAAAGCAGAGGTCGTAGAGAAAAATGAGAAACTATAGAATTTCATTCGTTGACTCACAGAAGTGAAAACGAATTCGGGAAAGACATGCATAACTAAGAAAAAGAAGAAGAAGAAGAAAACGAAGAAGAAGAAGAAAAAGAAGAAAACGAAGAAGAAAGGAAGAAGAAAAAGAAAAGGAAAAAGAAAAAGAAGAAGAAGAAGAAGAAAAGGAAGAAGAAGAAGAAGAAGAAAAGGAAGAAGAAAACGAGGAAGAAAACGAGGAAGAAAAGGAAGAAGAAGAAGAAAAGGAAGAAGAAAAGGAAGAAGAAAACGAGGAAGAAAAGGAAGAAGAAGAAGAAGAAGAAGAAGAAAAAGAAGAAGAAGAAAAGGAAGAAAAAGAAAAAGAAGAAGAAAACGAAGAAGAAAAGGAAGAAGAAAACGAGGAAGAAAACGAGGAAGAAAAGGAAGAAGAAAACGAGGAAGAAAAGGAAGAAGAAAAGGAAGAAGAAGAAGAAGAAGAAGAAGAAAAGGAAGAAGAAGGAGAAGAAAAGGAAGAAGAAGAAAAAGAAGAAGAAGGAGAAGAAGAAGAAGAAGAAGAAGAAGAAGAAGAAAAGGAAGAAGAAGAAGAAGAAAAGGAAGAAGAAGAAAAAGAAGAAGAAGGAGAAGAAGAAAAAGAAGAAGAAGAAGAAAAGGAAGAAGAAGAAGAATGGGAAGAAGAAAAGGAAGAAGAAAACGAGGAAGAAAAGGAAGAAGAAGAAGAAGAAAAAGAAGAAGAAGAAGAAGAAGAAGAAAAGGAAGAAGAAGAAGAAAAGGAAGAAGAAGAAGAAGAAAAGGAAGAAAAAGAAAAAGAAGAAGAAGGAGAAGAAGAAAAAGAAGAAGAAGAAGAAAAGGAAGAAGAAGAAGAATAGGAAGAAGAAAAGGAAGAAGAAAACGAGGAAGAAAAGGAAGAAGAAGAAGAAGAAGAAGAAAAGGAAGAAGAAGAAGAAGGAGAAGAAGAAAAAGAAGAAGAAGAAGAAAAAGAAGAGGAAGCATGTTTCGACTAAGTCTTTTTTCAATGTACAAAATAAGATGCATGGAGATTTGGAGGAATGACTAATGAGAGTCGGTGGATACATGACGTATGAGGTATAAATAACGATAAAATATCTCAATTATGATTCCGATTCCGGATATGCAAGTATTTAGTTTACTAAATCTACTACTCCCACAGTACATGCCAACTGATGCTGAACAACCACTGGTAAGCGTGAAATCACTATGGAATGGACCTTGTTTATCACGTTGCGGCTTTGTTCACAAAGCGGTTAATCACTGCAACTCCGCCAATCCTCTTCGACTCTTATACTAGCGTGCGCCAATGTCAATTATCATCGAAGCACACATTGACTTGGGAAGTCAGCTTATCACAATCTTCAGGGCTTCCGCAAGGTTTGACGGTTAATTTGGTGATCCAAAATGGTACGAGCTAGCTCCTCAAAACACCGTAAGTTAATTCAGCTCATCCTCTGAACCGATTTTCAAAAGCCTGGAATGTCGTGGTGAGCCTTTCGAATCCTAATTCCACTGGTTGCTTTCACCAATCAATATCGTATTGAGTAGCGATAGGCTTATTGGCTCCTGTCATTTGAGCTTCCCGATGAAACTTAACTCCTCATAGCACTGAAGTCTCTAAACCTTATCAAAAGCCACTAGTCCAAATAAGCTACCCCCACTGGTGGTGGTAAGAGTGAAGAAGTGCATTAGCAACAAACTTATGCACCTCGTTTTGAAACGTTTGGGAAACTAATGAGGTTCCTGTGAATTAAAAAATAATTTTCATTGTTCCCATCTTTAAATTTGGGTCGTGCACATTCTTTCACAGCTTAATTCTAGTCACTTCAAAAATTCTGGCATCAGTTATTCCTCACCTTTTGTTCCTAAGACGAGATGATTAGACTGAAGGAAGAGTGAGGTGAGTTTATCCCGGTAGTAACTGTAAAGACCCAATCTTCATCCAGATACTCGCGCGCCAACACACGAACCGAGGACGTTTTAGGTTTTTTTTCAGGGAATAATGGCAGTTTGTCACTGCATAAAAGTGATATCTCTGTGTAACTATCCTTGTACACACGAGAAGTTCTTCGCTCTCCACCAGCCAACGACAGATTTCAGGACTAGTTACGGCTTAAGACAATATTTCGCTCGTCTTCCCGTGTCATGCTGACTGTCCATGTTGAAAACCACTGAAAAAAGTTAAGATTTAATCGATCAGCTCCCGCCCAATGAAATTGTTGATAAGCATCTGTTTTGCGTTAGTTCCATTTCATCCTCGTCGTTTTCATTTCAATCAATCACTAATGTTGATTCTCCAAAAATACTACTCTTAAGTAGATGTAAATTTAATCCTGAAGAACTTTGTGCATAATTAGACCAATACTATAAGGTCATCGGCGAACAACCCTGTCACGCTTGCGACTGACTTCCGTAATACCCTCCAAATGGAGCACTATTTCATGGAAGTGATTTGATGTTGTATGCGACAAGTTTCAATATTTTCCCAGAGAATCAGTGGTTATACAAACAACCAATACAACTGCTAGATAAGTATTATTTCACTAAAGAACTGTACTAAAACCACGAGGAAATAGTTTATTCTCGAACCTACAGGACACCCGATTCCGCTTGCACAACCCAGCTGCAGAGATTTATTTCACAAGAGACGATTAGAACCATACACAAAATAGGAGTCTAGGTTCATACAGAGTGATTGTTCGATCCGGTGATCACCAATCCTAGTAACAACGAATGAAGTATCGCAATTAGACTTCATCATGTCACATAAATACGCAGTCACAATTATCTGTTCCTTGGAGCCCTGAATTAAAGTTTTGACTCCAAGACGGGTAAGTTGTATCCAAAAGGAACCCGATATTTGTGTTTCATGTGCAGGCGCGGTAAGGATCAGCACTACTACATAAGCTCTGTATCGTTGGCAGAAGTTCATTTGAGTTACTTAGATTTCAATCATTTCTCGGATAACAAAATTGTAAGACATCAAAGGATGACCAAATGGTGCAAAAGACTCCCTTAAATTCCCGAATTACCTAAGAGAAAAGATAATCACAAGCGGTTTACTACCCTCTATTGTGTTTTATGTCTGAAGCGCGTTATGCAAGTGCATTTAATGTGGTTTATACAAATTGGGTAATCATCATCGTCGTCATCATCATCAAACAAAACAACAGCATCATCATCAAACACAACAAAATCATCATCGTATAGCGAGATACAGTGAAGCGAACTTCATTGATCGCTGTCAAGCTCTAAATGTATACAAATTAAGTGATGAAGTACGATGTGAAGATGGATTGGGCCTAACTGGAGGGAGGCAAAGAAAGTCAACTTCTATGGTCAACAAACAGTGAAAGACCCAACTGTGAACGAATCTTCTCAAGCATTCTGACAAGATAAGAAATGACAACAAGAGAGCTACAGCTGTAGGTTATTTGCCATATCCTCCAGTGTCTCCAATCAACCAGTTACAGAGTCTTTTCGACCACAACCTGGAAGACGGGAGAAAACTATTCTACCTAATCTCTCTGTGCATTTCTTCATGCCCCGTTTCCACGTCATCTGTTGACCTCCATGTGGTTTCCTCCAGCCTGGAGCCAAAACTGCGAATAACGCGAGGTGCGGTCGACGATGGCTGGATGTGCTCACCACGTGTCCTAACTAGCAAAGCCAACTGATCTAAATGTGATGTGATAACTAATTTTACACTAAATAATTACCAATTAAGCGACGCCTTACCTCAGAGTTGCTCACACACTCGGTCCATCCAAGCCATGCCAAACTACGTAAACATCAACGGTCGAATACTTCTAGAGGACGAATATCTTCCACGCACAAATTTAGGGTCTCGTAATCGCAAAGCATAACTGACGCATACTGGCGCAATATACGCGACCTTTAAGTTTTAAAGAAAAATCAAGTCGGCGTCAAACATGTTTAAGTTCTGTTTCCGTCGCTCGAGTCTTGGAAATGCAGGCTTTCGTTTCATCGACACGACTACCGTCTCCGTTTCTCCTATCCAAGTAAGAGAAACAATCCTCTATAACTAATTATTCCCCATCAAGCAGCAGAGCCGGGGTAGATGACATTAAATATTGTAGCATTACTCTGCACTGGGAAGTCGCCAATTGCATACCACATCGAGTTACGGAACATGAAAGTTTGTCCATAAATTCCTACAGAAAAACAATGTTGTCCGCCTACTGTAAATGGCACAGCTTTTCTCTGATTGCCCATTCAATGTCAACATCTCGGAGACTACTTAGTGCGTTCTCCATTATCTTGTCTGCGACGAAATTGTATGGGAATGGCGAAAGAGGGCACACGTCGTGTATATAGCAAATGAAGCGTGAATGAAAAAGCTAGGAAGCACTGGACAGGTCACACAGCCTTCCTTTTGTTTATTAATTGAATGCAGCTTCGTACTTCCGATTCTGATAAGGGCTCCAATGTTACCACCTATGGGGTTTCCGCTTGAATCGCCGGAAAATCCGCATTAGCAACAGTTCAACTGAACTGTTCACCAGAATACCATGCCCAGCGATCAATTTGTTCTTCTTTATTGTGGATACTCTATCCACTTTTATCGTAAATGGTCTCACTGACCGGTATGCGGCGAAGTCGGGTGTTGTGTATCAGGTGAAACAGTCTTTGACTATTTCGTGATGCAGAAGCTACCTCCATTTTATTCACTATCTTAGCCCACCAGTTTTCGCGAACTTTCTCAGGGCTTTTCCTGAGTTGGCGTTGCAGACGCCACCGGCCCCGCACATTCCACTGGGAATCCCACATGATTGGTGCTTCTGCCGTCAAAGGTCACCGATTGGACCAGGTCTGTCTAAATTCCGGCCAGTCCGAATGAACTCACTTCTGTGGAGTCAACAGATGACGTAGAGACGATGCACGAAGAAATGCACAGAGCGATTAAGTAGATTAGGTGTCACGCCTTCCAGATTGGGGTCCGAAAGACTCCACAACTGGTTGGTTGGAGACATTAAATGATATGACAGCGAACCGACAGCAGTGGCGTGTTTGTTGTCGTTTCTTATCGAGTCAGGATGTATGAAACCGTATGTATGCAAATTTCAATTGCGTACTGTGTGTCTTGACGATAGAGGTTCACCTTCTCCCCCTCCCTCAAAATCGACCCAACCCCTGTCCACCTTAAATTTTACCACTAACGTTGTATGCATTGTGAGTTTGGCAACAATCAGTGAAGTTCGCCTCACTGTATTTCGCAGTACGAATATGATGAATAATTATCATACTTTTGAACAAGTAACCTAAATTTTCAATGTTCCTCTTTCGCATGGCAACTATAACACAGCGGCCTGACAATAAACCAACAGATTATTGTTGCCACCACAAACCCTTTGAACTGTTTTATTGTTTCCAGTCTATTCGTGTCATGCAGAACAGTTGCTGCGTAACCCCAGTTATTACATCTTATCAAAATGCATGATGTTTAATACATTTGATCGTTAATTCTTTGTTTTATTCATTGAACGTTTTTGTGAATGACAGCAATTTCTGTCATTGTTGAAGCCAATATGCCGGGCACTTGGGAAATTTCATAGAAATTAGAGCATATTCACAATTATAGTAGGCTGGATTTCCATTTTGTGTTTGTGGATAATTGCATGCAATAGCAGTCACTCGGTAGGCACTTTTCCAGGGCACCTGGTGATCAAAGGTAAATCAAGACAGGCAGTTCACTCATTGTTAAAACCAAACGATCATGTAAAACCAACAGACTTGGTTAGGCAGGTCAACCTTTTGCTTTTCGTTGGGGTGCAAAGGGTACAAACTATCAACCACTGATTTAGTCAAAATAATCACCAACAGCTGGGCTTCTTTT